AGAGGTCAGGYAGGTATTAAATACAGAATGTGCTGACTGGCAGCAGGAAGTAAGAAGCACTGCAGAAAGACACAGAAAACCCACTGTGAAGGTGTTCCCTTGATGAGGTGCTCCTGCTGAAACATTTTGGAGTTCAGCCACCCAGGCACATTACAGAAGTGTAAAATGTAAAGGGATTGTCCTCTCTTCAGTCATGTTAGAATCTCTCCACTACTGTCTCGTTACTATCATGGGGCATGCATGTTCCTCATACCAGTGTTTTCTTACCTTACAATCATCTTAGAGATGGTACTTTACATACACAATTATGTATTGAAAAGTCAAAGGGCTAGGTGGCCCCTTGAACGTGTGTAATTAACCTTTGTTTAACTGCAAAAGCTATAGGAAACCTGCTAATGTTTTTGGTTCATTTACATGCTGCAATAGCTTTCTCAGTCTCTCCTGGGCCCAGACATCTAGCCCACAAATATGTTTGCCTAAGAGTACACAGCAAATTTTTTCCAACCAAGCTTTCCTACTTTTTTTTAATTTCTGTTAAACATTTGTAATAGTTTCCTCATTTTKCCCTGATGTCAGGAATAATATTCCTGGATGCTACATGTAAGAGAAACTGATGCTTCCTCCACTTTGAGAGTCACAAGGATTGAGTTCAGGGTGGCAGGTTGCCACCAGTACCTATGGATCTTTGCTTTTATAGTATACATAAAATCTACAACTCTGACTCACAAAACAAACCAGCCAAACAAACAAAAAATAATTCAGCAACACTGAAACTCTTTGCTGCAGGACTGACCATCGTGGCAAAGAGCAGATCAAACCAGAGCCAACACACATCTGCAAGGCTCTCGTTCTCAGCTGGAACGGCTGACACTCCTTGAACAAGAAATGCTAGCCAATGCATGGACTGTCCCAACTGGAAATTTTCTGCAATTAAAATAGGTTCATATGAAATAGTTTCATTATTTCATATGAAATAATCAAGGGTCTGTGAATCTACCTTATTCTCCTGGAAAAAGTCGTGTAAAAGTACTGTAAAAGTAGCTGTACAACTACTAATGAGACTGAAATACTGCTTCTTAGAGCAAGAAGACAGAGCTGATGCATGAGACTTCTCCCACTGGGAACAGTACCAATYTGTGAATATTAGAGATCTACGTTTGATAAAACAACTTCTGTGTTTGCTAAKACAATTTCTGCATTCAGACATYATGWAGCTTACTTAAAAAGAAGACATGTCCAGTGCCTTTTGGGAAATACTTCCTTGAATAAGTCTGAACCGGGTAAATGCAGCTTTGGAAGCTGGCAAAGATAAAGTGCATGGAGTCCAAGCTGACTGACAGGGAAAGTTTAGAAGCAGGATGCWGTTGATTAGACTGACAAATTATGTTTTAATCTGGGTAAACAGACACCGCCCATTCTCTGGAAAAAAAAACCTGAGTAACATTGAACAGGAATAGGAACAAAGGCTTCATTGTCCCCAGGGAGGCACTGCCAGCTTCTGAACARGAGAGTTTGCTTTTCTAAATGGTATTTGAAAATTTGGTTTGAACATACCTGTCCTTGAAACACTAACCATATTTCAGCTATGATTTCAACAGAGCCTACAGTGGAATATGTGAAACCTGCTGTTTTCAATATGTTCAAATATTGGTGAAGCAYTCTTCTGTGCTGGGAAAAATTTCAGATCCTGAGGTGTGATTTTCATTTGATTTAGGATTAATCSCTGCAGAGTGCTCATCTGGATTACAAATCTAGGAAGGATATAAGATCCTGCTTACAGCCACATGCTCTCCTTGGGAAACAGTCAGAGAACAGACATTCAACAATACTCCCACATTTAGAGCAACYAGATTGAATAAAACATTCTTTAAAAGAATTAATTAGAGACATATCTCTTTGTTTTGATTTCTGCCAAATACTCACTTTGGTTTTAAGTTACCATTTATGTTAAATCTTATGCTCTCTATCTCCAGGGGCAGGAAGCAGGAAGACAACACTTAATAGCACAAAATTTGGGTGACTCCCAATTAAGAACTCATGTGGGAAAGCAAAAGAAAAAACACAATAAAAATCATAGTCCAGGATTTTATAGGTGCAGAGTACTAACGCACATTAATTCCAAAGTCTTTTTGATCAGTTCTTAGAGRAGGAAGAGTCAAAACCTTGACTCCCTCAGACCATGCAGGATTCAGGGCTGTTGGGGAACACTGAAAGCACAGGGTGGAACTGGGAAATAGCAGCACCAGAAGGCTGATCAGGTTCTTCAGATGATTGAAGCCATTGACAAAGCTCCTTTCCTTGCAGTCAGAATTTTATCCTAGGAGGAAAAGGAATAAGGAGGTGACAAGGAGCTGCTGGAAGCCAGGTCAGAAATTTAAAGAAGCCAACCTTTTTGACTTCAAGATGCCAAAGAGGTGGGTTCACAGCCATCACAGTTTGGTTTTGTACAACTGAAGAACAGTGCTGCAAACTTGCATACCTACTCAAATGAAGCAGAGTTTAAATAGAAGGAAATAAGCAAGCTGCTAACATAAAAAAGCTGCTTTTTATTTAACAAAGATTCCTATGAAACACCCATCTCTRTTCAGATATTAATTTGAAACTCTATTACCCCATAGTCATCTTTGCAAATCACTTCACCTCTGTGCAAAAGTGAAAAATAAGATAGTGACTTTAGAACACTCAGAAGTTCATGTTCCTTTTCAGACAACAGTGCTACAAGTACTTCCCTCTTTTCCAAGGAAAAGATTCTTCCATGCTTCTTTAGCACAACTGGCTGCTGGAGTCTCGAGCCAGTCCACATGTCCATCTTACCAAACTGAGAAGTATTTTAAGTACTAAATGATGAAACCTGGTTTCGAGTCTTGCTCTGGAAGTGACTGGCTTTAGGCTGACTTTTAAACCTGCTGTAAGCCAGTGAGTTTACTGCAGACAGGTCTGTCTGTGGGATCATACACAGCCTTCAGCTCCAGCTGGTACTGTGTACTCCTCAAACAGCACTTTGCAGATCAGGTGGTGCAACTAGTGACAAAAAAAAAAAAGGAAACTAAAAAAAAGGGGAAAATATGGGAAAGTTTAAAAGACAAATCACATCTCTAAAGAAGGGAACATCTTAGCTAAAGAATTGACACTTTCTTATTGCCACAGGTGTGTGCCATAGAGCTGGGACACTGTGGGGTGACATTTTGGTCAGTAGAGTGTACACTCCARCACTCAAGGCTTCAGCCTCTCTCAATAAAACAAAGCTTACAGAAGAGCATTTTTGAGAGAGGAAGGAAAGAAGGGACTGTACTTGTCTTGTAGTGTTGCAACAAAGGAGGAAGGTTATACACAACATAACAGGGGGCTGAAGAATTCTGAAAGGCAGAGTTCAAAGGAGGGTGTGGGTCACAGCTCAAAATCACATCAGGTTCAAATTCCAGTGTTAATGAAAGCATACACAGAAGTAGCCTCCCTGCAATATTCTTTTTACTAACTAGTGACAAGAGCATCTTTACAGTTTATTTTTATTGACATTTTAAGTCTTGCAGGACTATATCAGAAAGGTGAAAAAAATTAAAATCTCAGGCTACATTTCAGAATTAAACAACCACTTTTCCTTTAAAAATGACTAATATCACCCTAACCCAGAAATGCGATCCCACGATCCATCTGTTTTCCCAAGTTYGTGTTAAATTTCTTCACATGGGGAATAATGAAAATGTTCACTGCRGAGCCCTGATTTTCTCACTTCTCATATTGTCAGAAAAAGCTCCTCACCATGAAATTTCAGGAACTCATGGAAGGGCTTAATTAGGGTGAAACATTGTCAGAAAGGAAGGAAGGCTGCTAAACATTCAGGAGCAAGAGCTGGAATGAACAGTACACAGGCTTATCTTCCCGGCAGCACAGAACAAACTTAGCAGTTCCTGGGTGTAAAATGTTTACTTAAATTACTTTTTAGTTGGCACAAGYGCACAGGGAAGAGCTCTAGGAAAATTCCCTTGAGCCAGTGAAGCTTTCCATGAGCTGGCTACGAGAGCTTACCWTCATTTACGGACATTTCACTGCCTACAACTTCTGGTAATCAAATGGGCAAGTCTGTTATATATTAATTGGTTTTTTGTTGTTTTTTTTTAAAGAAAGCAAGCAAAGCAAAGCCACATTTATGAAAGTTTTTCTCCAGGGTAGCAGCTGTAGCTTTTRCTTTGCCCTGCAATGTGCTGGATGTAGTTTGATCCTGACAGTTTGAAAGTTACAGCAGTACCGGGTGAAAGCATAACCTGCACCTGAAACTTGAGAGGAGCTTTTATGATTGGTTCAACTGGCTTTTGTTCCCTTAAATACCCCTGCTTTTGAGCAAGGTTAAACAGGTTGTCACGCATTTCCTGCACTTTGAAATGAAACAGTTAATTAATCCAGGTTAATAGTATTAGCAGGGTCTATTACAGTACTTAAGGTAATGACACACAGCTGTATTGTGCTTGTGCCAACAACCAGTGTTCCAGATGTAAAGACACTTCCCAGATGCTTAAGTGGAATAATATTTACTGCTGAATGCTATTCTGCTCAAACACCTAGGTTAGAAAGCACAACTTTTAAATCTTAACAGGTCTTTTTTGCAGAAATAAGAGTTTCACTGAAAGAATAAATCCTTTTTTGAAAAAAAATATGTTTAATTTTGAACAGTTTTGCTTTATCTTTGACATATAAATTGTAGTCAGTTCRCTCAGGAATCTAGACACTGGAGACACTGAAGAATCAGGACAATGCAGAAACAACTGCCTGCTTATGTGAATCTGCTACTAGCACTTACTAATTTTACACTTGAAAAATCTACTATCTTTGTTTTCTGGGTAGCTTGYTATTTGTTAATAGCATATAGAATCATAGAATCATAGCATGTGTGAGAAGCTTTTTGAATTTCCTGTACCCACCTAGAGAGAAAGAACATTTTTATTRGGCTAAACTGTGCTGTTATGCAACACCACTAGCATGAAGGAAGGGTAAATGAAGACAGACATGAAATTTGTATGAGATAACTTATTTTATTTATTCAATTCTCAACTTAATTTTGATGCTAAAAAYTGGTCAAAGGCACTTCAAAGAAGGTATTTAAGAAACAAATCCTTATGGTGACCATTCCAGACAAATCACCAACTTTTATCTGCCATTAGGAACACAACTACCTATAATTGCAAAGTGAAACATTCACAGGTTTTAAGTGGAGCAYACTGTCCAGCAGCAATATTCAATTCTTTTACACTATTAATAACATTTGTGGAGTCATTTAAATACAATATGGTAAAACAAAGCAAATTACACTTTTGGAGTTCCACAGAAGATTTCTTGACAGAAAAAAAGACAAAACTGCCTTTCCCAGTGGTCCTGTATTGAGGGGTCTATTTTTATCTGTGCGTGCACTATCAGCATCAGTAGCAGGTACAGCAGACAAATAACCCACACTTTGTTGTTGTACAAAGACAAAACACCCTGCTCAGATAACAAACTGTTTATAAGAGGTCTAACAGCTACTCACTGAAATTTATACCTCTGGAAGCATAACAGAACAAATGGCAAAAGGTGAAGAAAAAGTGACTTTTAATATACACCCCCACCAAAGCAAAAGTGTCCTTAAAGGCAAAAGTACTGTGAAAAGAGCCTCCACAAAATGAAAGRTAGTGTTAACAACACCAGCGTGTAACCTCTTAAAAAGACAAATACAGACTGCAAAAATGAACTGGGAGTGAAAATTAGATGAAATAAGATTAAAACTGCAAACAAAGATTAATACTCTGATGAAGAACAATGATCRCGAGGTAACTTTTTGGCATTCTCAATCTTCCTGAACTACAACCATACAATACAAGATTAAAATGTTACTCTGTCACACTAAGGGACATTCCCACATCCACTACCTAGTAATTTCAAGAAAATAGCTCAAAATTTTTAGATGGGTCATTTAAATCACTACAATGCCAAAGTAAGCTTTTAGGTTTTATTAAGAAACTTCTTTTAGAAACCAAACCAAACCACAGAGCAATAATCTGCATGGCCTAAGTAAACTCATGTTGCTGTGCTTCAGAAAGTCTCTCCATCTGAAATACAGTCTCCTTTGGCTGTAAAAATTCTCAATCTCAATAAATAATTTCTCAAAGCACAAAGACCTGAGAGTGAAATAGCAGACTACTAATAGTAGTGTAATATTGTACATGAAAATTAAACTAACTGTTCACATTCCAACCTTGTCTACTGAGACTTCTGAAGGCAGTGAGATAGAAACCAATTATTCCAGAGGTATGAGCTCATGGTTATGGCAATACAGTTCAACTGAGAACAACAGGTCTCTGTTATAATCACAGAATGTAAAACCTGATACTTTTCTAGCTTGTCTGGAAGGAAAAAAATTCTTTGTAGTGCTGTTGTAAAGGCAAAAGAAATAGATTCAGAGGCCTATGCACAAGGACACTTTACAACAAAGAATGGACATTTAAAGAAAAGGTTACGAATTTTTCCAGATAGGCCACCCATTTATCACAAGGTAGTATGTCCTTAGCCTTATTCCCTTCAGAAGGAGAACTTACTCTTATACTTTTCCAGTGAGGTGCTGCATKTTGTGGAAAGGGATATTCCTGCCCTGCTCTGTTAAACACACAAGCCCCAGCTGGACAGCAGATAAGAACTAAAACTGCTGCTGAGAAAAGGCTTCACCATGAGCTCAGCAGTGGCTGGTTCACCTTGTTACTCCAGCTAACAACCTGTGTGGAGCTCAAACATCCCACCACCTGCTTCCTCCTGTCCACCTCAGACTTGTGCTGGGKGAAACTGGAAAGCCAGAGACAGGATACTCAGGACAGTAAGGAACATGAGGAGGAAATKATTTTGCTTCACAGGACAGATATATGACACAAATCTGCAGAAAATATGCAGGATTAGTTTTGCCTGTTGTAGTAGAAAATCTTTAAATCTCYATGGATGAACTGAGAAGGAAAGCAGAAATAAAGGAACTGTACAGTAGTTCAGCAGATCTTCTACATGGACTGAATTTACAAAGCRATAAGTTTGGGATCTCAATTTCATTTTATAACTTTCTTAAGTATTCTTGAAAATTTTATCTGCCTGTTTGAACAATGCCACTGGAGTTATCAATTCCATATGGATTTCACAATATGGTTGGTTTGTKTTGCATGTGGGATAAACATTTAGCTCACAGAAGGAAGCACCTTTCAGCATGTTAACATCCACTGTCCTCCGGACAAGCAGTTTGWCTACAGCAAACTGGAGACTTTTTCCTTTCTTAAATCAATGCAGTAATAATGTTCTACTTCAATAAATTAATGTAAAATAAAGCTCRTGTCCCTATCAGTACTTCAGAAGCAGTGCTGTTCATAAAGACCAAGAGATATGACCCTGCAGATACTATTTAACCAATACTTGATGGATGAACTTGGCCTGCATTCAGGCAGAGAAGGTGTAATACAGCATTTCAACACCATGAGCCRTTCCAGTAATTACCATCGTGCAGAGAATGGTCAGAAACAAAGTCATGACTTTACTGTCGGACAACAGACAGAACCCCAATCTGTATTAGAACTATCTTTGGAAAAAAAAATTCCAGTACTTTATGGTAACATCATCTTCCASGAACATCCTGAAGGACCAGCAGTAGTAAATAAGGCTGTCTGCTACCACTATGTGCCCTTTTCMAAACAATGACTGGAGGTAATTAGGTTATGTCCAAATTCATCAATATGATGAACGTGAAAAGCAACAAAAAGATGAAGAAACTTTTGTTCAAGTGTGGAATAAAAACACACTACATGTCACAATCCCATCCCCCATACTGCTATTCACTCATTTTGAAAAGGAGAAAACYAGAAAGTTTTATATTAACTCAAAAAACCATGTATTTGGCCTCTGGAAAAAAATCAGTAACTAAAACACCTATTTTGTCCCACACYGAGAAAATGTTTCCAGTTAAAAGGCAGAGATACTTATGAAGTAGTGGAGAAAATTAATGCACTTTGAAAGATTCCTGCATTCAGGCCTGCTTACCTGAATAACTATGTACTTCAGCTTCAAAAACAGTGAAAAAAGKATCATTTAACACTTCACACTGAAAAAGGTAACAAGAGGCAGATACAGAAAAAGAATTTTAAGTGGAATAAAAAAAGGTTCAGAAAASTGAAATTAAGTACTTCAACCAAGTAAACTGGCTTTGCTGCAGTTTTAAAATAGGATATTTCTGTATCTGAAAATGTTAACCCCTAGCGAAAATTAAAAAGGACACAAACTAATTATAATAGTGGCTAAAACCAAGTTGTTACAATGCAACCTCACTAAGATACTATTCTACCTGGTTTATGTGACAGGTGGGATGGAAGGCAGACTTCTTTTTCAAAAGCATCTGCCTTATGCTGAGAAATCCAAACATGAATTTTTATAACCATTCAACCAAAAGGATAAGTTAATAAAAGAAAAAAAAAAAAAAAAAGCCACAGGCAAATATGTAAGCAGCTTGCATCACCCCAGCACTTTAAACAACAGTAACTGTTTCTGGGTTTCTCTCCAAAACAGAATTTCTCCCCAAAAACTTCATATTGTTTTGCACAACAGAATTTAAAACTTTATAAGTAATTCATAGCAGTGAATYATGTTTCTGAAACAATTGTGGGTGAAATTCTGCCATGCTGYTGTTAAGGCAAATCAGACTGGAGACTCTAATTTTGTGTCTATGCCTTACCTTTAGGGCAAGGTACACAAAGTAACTTCAAGATGTTGAGAATAATTAAGAAAGCCATCATGAAGTGTTTGACTGGGCAGAATCCAATTTCTAATATCAGAACTGACTTAATGGAAAGGAAATGGAGAACAGAAAAAGGAGCAGAAATACAGTATGATCATCTGCAAACCTGTCCACTATGGTTTTTATACAAATTCTTCCAGATATTATTGTATCAGAGCAACCTCCAATTTCACAGCTTTAGAGCCCTAAATCTTTGTGATCTGGGCTGCAAGGTCACACTATCCCAAAYAGTCAGAGCCAGCACCACTCTACTGTACACAAGATGACAAGAAGTGCTRCCAACTTGATTTTTGAAATAAGATTCGCCAGAAGTAACTTCAGTCCACAAGCTTCATGCACGAGTTTGAGAAGACTCTAACTCATTGTACTGGCTTCTTTTTAGTTTTTTCCAAGTCTACTTAGCTCTCAGAAATTTTTTGCTTTAGTTTTTGATTATCCTCCAGTGCWTCATTTTTGCTCTGCTCTTCTGGATTCTTTGACAAATCAGGATTGTATCTATACAAATACCCATACGGACGAAGATGATAAATCAAATATTCCAAATGATACATAGTCACAGAGTCAACATAGTGGAATGAAACTGCTAGATCAGAGCAGCATCCAGGACCCTGAAACACAAAACCAACAATCAGCAAGAATTACAAAGCACACCCTGAMTTAAAGATCCAGGGAAAATTCAAAGAAATACTTGATTTAATGGTAAGGAATTCATAACCATCAGTCACACATATACTTCAAAAGTAATGTTAGGCAAGCAAAATACACCAGACATATCTGCCAAGGCATCTCTCCAGAATAATGCTGACAAAGTCTTTTGCTTCTGTGATCAAATCAATGAAAAAACTAGCTGCCCTCATTAATGTCAGAGATTTTCTGCTTTTCCAYACTTAATTTTTGATGCTGGCGTTTAAACAGCACCAAGAAGCAGCAAACAGGCGTAAATGAGTTACATTTATATATGAAACAATACATKCCTGTTACTCATGTCAGCATCCAAACAGAATGTGTAAGCAATATGTGTATACCTGCACCTGAGTGTGTGTGTTGGCACATTATATAGCTGGGCAGTATTGTCAGCATCTAATTTCCTACTTAGAGAAAGTTGTAACAAGTAATTGCAAAATTTTGTTTTAAATGTGGTTTCATTGATATTATTAAGAGATATAGGATCATTGTTATTAACCCAAAAACCCTAAGCCTAACTTTTACACGTATTTTATAGCTCAAATTCAGCTTTGAGAATACTTTCCTGAAACAGTTTTGGGGTTTCGTTTTCCAGCAGCTTTGATTGCAGAGCTGCTAATATTTCAACTCCAACTGGAACTAAGATTAAATATTTAAAGAGGCCAAAGAGAACAATTGTTACATAACCATTATTCTTTCAATACTTACTAGGTTTGATCAATATAGCTTCATTTTTTGATACCAGAAGAAGTGGTCTCTATCCAAGCACATGTATGACAGGACAGGATCAAATAGGCAATTTCCATTATGSATCAGTTACAGATGGAACTGTCCACAGCTCAGTCACCCATGCACTGCAGCCTTAGCTAAAGCTGCTGCCTCCTGACACACTAAACACAGTATYATACAGCTGCTTTCAGCTACAGAAATGCTTTAGCTGCTGAATACAAGTATAAAAATAGATTGCTGCTTTACAATGAAAAAAATCTGCTGAAGAACCAGACTGTCGTTTTTTCAGCTTTAATATGTAAAAAAGTCCAAATCCTGTTCTTGAATTCTTCCACCTAATGCTAATTCACACATCACACATTCACACACATCATGAGATCACTTGACAAAATGGGTACCAGGTTYCTAAGGACTTACCTCTACAGCAGGATAGTAATTGTAATTCCAATACCAGAATGTTTTTGGCARGTATCCTCTGATTAAGTGATGTTCTGGAATGAAGGGATGAAAGGTTTCTCTACCACTTGTATCCCTAGAATCTCCTGCTTCCACATTGATGATCTCCATGCATTTTCCTAGTGCTAGATCTTCAATAGAGGAGCTGTGAGAGCATTTGTTCGTTTTAAATGCAGCAACAAATCTCTTCAGAGCTTCTTTGCTAAGAACATAACCTGCTCCTCCACTCATGTAGCCCTGCTTCACGTAAGGTTTAAACCTTCTTCCAAAGTATATTGGTTGTTGAGGACTGTATTTTGAAAGAAGCCATCTCAAATTGTCCAATATAACATATGTATCATCATCTGCTTTCATAAACCAGTCAGCATCATCAAAATAATGATCATATACATATTGAAAAGCTTTAATAGTCTTCCAGTACAGCTGGTCCCTGCCTTCTTTGGTTTCTAGGCCCACAGTTGGGAAGTCTTTATTTTCCTCAGAGCTCATAAAAAGTACTTTATTACAGCGTTGGGCCCAAGTGGCCTTAACATGCTTGGCTTTCTTTTCCAGATTTTGAGGTCCAGTCATGACCCAACACAGTATTCTCACCTTCTCATACAGTCCTTCTGCAATATTTTTATCCTCATCTAAAAAAAAAAGGGTAAAGTTGTAAAACCACATTAGACATGATTGCCAAACAAACTAAGAGCAACCTCCTCYCTCCCCAGATATTCTGTTTCTAGATCAGAAAAGACATGCAGACAGAAAAGAGGCTTTTGCTTCCAAATGTACTAGTTAAGGAACTCCGTGCTAGATTCTGGAAGGAAACAAGACTCTCAAAGACTAAAATCCTTAAAGCTATTTCAACTACACAAGATAAAGGAGAGTGTAAGAGTCATATCAAAATATGTGTCTGTTTAGGRAAGTGTGGCTTTAGCAAACCTTGATTTGTTCATAAAACCTGCTTGGTGGCAACCTCTTTATGGTCTTGGAGGACTAATGAAAATTTAAAAACAGAATATTTTTGCCATTCACAATGAATACAAATTAATGRCTACAACACAGAAAGGCCAAAAACCGATAGGGTCTTATATATATATACTCATGTTAATTAACAAAACCTAATGAATATTTCTAAAAAAAATAACATACGTTTTAAGACTAAAGCCAATGGCAAGCCAGAAATAATTTAACAGACTAAATAACTTAGGATACTATGAAACTAYGAATGTTGAACTAACATGTTTTTATTTGGAGACAATCCAGCAGAATAAAGAAGTTATTTGACGTTGTAACATAATGTTTTTCAAGCTATCAAAGCATTCATTGCTCTCAAAGAAACATTTTCACTTGATACATACAGAAAGATTTTAACTCACGTAAAAGAATATTTCACCGAGAGTGAAATCTGCATAAGGGGTACTAAAATATTCCTGCTTACACTTTATGCAATTATAGATCAGATTTCTTTGTAACAATGTTCTACAATTACAATCTGAAACACTCTCAAACTCATATTAGGAACTTGGAGTTTAAATATGTTGAAATAACAAATTATTTACTAACATCTTCAGCAAATGCATTGCAGTGCAATTTTTCTCACCTAAGCTGTCCCTATTCAAACACTCTCTGTATTTGGGATTTAGAATTCACTCATTTAATGAAATGCATCAAGAGTAAAAGTATTCCTGAAGTATGCGAAGGGTCTACCTTCTCTAGAAAAATAAAAATAATCAGAGTGCAAGAGAATTTCTCTGGCTTTGACTGCAAACAGCAACCTGTGTCTGGACTGCTGCATAATCAGCAGTAACTCCCTCTGCCCCGGCCCCCCACCTCAATTCTGTGTTTTACTCATTGTATTTACACTAATTGTGCACAAAGTGATTTTTAAAGAATTTTTTTTAGCTTTAATCTTAGAGGCTAGATCAAAAGTTAGAAGTTGTCCAAAGCAAGTTTCTTAAGGCTAAAAAGCAATCCAGTCACACCTACAATGCCATCCAAGATATCTGCTTAGCAAAATTGCTGTTTGCTGTCAATAGTTCATTCGAGAAGTTCCCACTCCAAGTCTGGATACAGAAGATGGATAAACAGTTGGACTACAAGGAAAAAAAGTTACTACTGTAATCAAAATGTAAGCAAAGAAAGCCACCATTAAGTAGACCGCAGAAGAAAAAAATTACTTAAATGTAACCTGAACATGGGGAAACTGAAAGAAAACAACTCATTTAAATTCTTGGCACTGAAAAAAGCAACATTTTGCAATGCATGAAAAGGGAGGACATTTTCTAATCAACCAGGAGTAATAAAATACCTTTATGCTGTCCAGCATCTGCATTGAAATTCATTTGTCCTTGCAGCTGATTGTTGTCAGCATCTGCTGAGTGTTGACCATGTGGATCATTGTGAAGCACATGAGGCTGGATCTTCACTTGTTCYTCTAGTATAATGCTAAACAGAAGATAGCAGACGAAAAATCCTATTGCTGAGCCAAAAGTGAAAGTCAGAAGGTTCATCAAAGACTTAGAAGCGGCCATCTCCTGAAGGTGAGACACTGTCAAAAACACATGAAAAATAAATTAGACTTAACACAGAAATCTAAAACTAATGGAAAAATATCTAAGATCTAAAAAATCAAGGACTAAATCTCTAAAAGCAGAGAATTCAGYTCTAGCTCAGATTTAGCTCCCCTGGGCTTGCACAGAAGTTTAAACACAAGAGCAAGGCAAATATCAATATTAAATTGCACATCCATTGATAATGGATGTATATTAAAAAAGATATTAATTTATACAACATTTAAACAGGAATGTACATGCTGAAATGCAGTAGCTTTATAAAACTGTAATATATGTACTTTTTTTTTATTCTCTTCAGCCTACAAAACTACACTTYAAAGTGCAATACCTAACTCTTATGAAGCTAAAAGATGATAATCAATGGCAATCTAAAGATCAAGATACAACTTGGTCACAACCTGTTCTTAAAACTCTAGTGGAAGGTAGGTATTGGAATTCCTAACAGTTCTCAATCACAAGCAGATTTCAAAGAGTTATAAAAGCAAATCTACTCCCAAAGYAGGGCAGCTGTCCTTACACTTTTGGGAATTACTGATGATTGACTTTCAGAAAAGAGAGTAAGATGACATCTGAATTTTCACACAGAAASACTCATTTTTAAAAGGAAGAGAAGAAGGGAGTACACCAGCCTTACGGCCTCTTCTACACTTCAAAAACCTTGTATTCCAGTAGTAAAAACACCCTTTCACATCAGCCACACYCTTGCTCCTCAAAAACTAAAAGGCTTGGCTGACCATTTTTATTAAACCAAATCAGCAACTATACCTGCAAGAAAGGAGTTTTATACATCAAAAACAAGTGTGAATTTTAATATTAAACACTTGAAAACCAATTTCAAGTTGTTGAGGGGTTTTCATCTTTGGAAAGAGTTGAGCTATTTTCTAATAACTCATGACTAAACTACAAAAACATTGACTGTAATATATACTGGATCCAAGCCAGAGCCTTACAAACAAGTCAGTGATGTTCCCTACATTAGGATCATTATTAATGACAGTGGGCAGAACCCAATTTAATTCATTAGGGAGCCCAAAAAAGAAAATTATGGACTGTACAGAGCATCGATGAAAACCATTGATCAGAGCAGAGCTGCAGCCACCAAAACAACTCATTTAGCTTGCACCCCCTCCTCTCAATGGCTGYGCAGTCTATTGGAAACAGACTGTCCCCAAGCAAGCTGCATGAATCACTGTGCAGCAATACACGCTCCAAATTCCAGCGTTCTGTCTGTCCTTCTGCTCTCCTGAAGGGAAAGCAAAGGATGGAATGCACATGTACATGYTGTTAGCTTGGCACTTTCAGAAATCCATCAGATTTACTGTATATGTGCAGATCAAGATCTTTGAGAGTGAAGCAGCTCTCACATATGGTAATGCTTTTCTTTCCACACTGCTAGAAAAAAGGAAAGGAAATTCAAAACACAACTTGAAGCACAAAATAAAAAAGAAGAAATGCACAGAGTGTATAAAACCTACATGGTTATAACTATGGTTGACAAGGAGCTGTARTTCTTTAATGTGAACAAGCATGTTATACTATTTTTTAATTGCACATTGTCTTCCCTCAATTCCCTCAATTCAGTGGTTCTGCCCACTGTCATTAATAATGATCCTAACTGAGGGAACATCATTGACTTGTTTGTAAGGCTCTGTCTTGTCTACACCTTGGTGCAGACAAACGAGTGCCTTTAGACATCACATCACAAAGTAAAAGTAAAAAACTGACTGTAGAATTATTTGTGACCCAGGCCTTGAAAAATTACTTGGTGGCTTCCCACTTTAYTTCTATTGTCTTTTACATCACTAAATTGAGAAGAAAACATGAGAATTTTGTTCAGATGCCTTCAAAAAAAGGCCAAAACCCCAAAACCTTTGACAAAAAGCCCATATATACAAGTAGCCTATGGCAATGCAAAGGATCTGCTGTACTATATTTATTTTTTTGATTTTGCTTTCTGTATCTATTACCACAAAGTCTTCTCAAAATTTGCAATACACATAGAGATATGGCCACAATAAAGCAASACCTTCCTTTGGCATAGTTAAAGTGGGGAAAAATACAAACCCATGCATGCCCACAGTGTAGCTACAACACCTTTTAGGAGAAAAGGTCTCCCCTGTTTTAATTTTCAATATCAGGTGCCTCTGCCAYACAATTTCAGTTATCTGCTGTAACAGCTGTTAAAATTACTCTTGCTTGGAGAGAAAAATATGAAAATAACTTGAAAATAAWTGCTGCTCATTAAACTGTGAAATTATATACAACTGAATTCTATAGGAAAAAAATTAAATGTGCTGGAAATGCTGAAAAATTTAAAAAGTACATTCATGATATTGGACATCAAATTTGGCAGTACTTCACATACAAAGAGGATTTCTCGGGGCAGGTAGTAGATGTACTTCATATTTGATACAAAATGCCTCTAGTTACAATTTTCAATCTAAAATAAYCTGCTTATCATTCTATCAATTTTATACCAACAGACTGGGTCACTATAAACATGTGTGGGTATATATCCATATGCTTGTAAACTCCAACAGCAAACAGGACAGAAATCTTCATTTTTTAATACTATCTTGGTATTTCACAGAAACTGAGTCTTTTAACTTGACAGCAAAAATAACTGAACACTACAGCATTACACTGGAACCAGAAAATGCCTAAAAGGAAGGTCAGTTGTCAGATGATAAACATTCCCACTCCTTGCTGATATTCTTTATGACACACAGATTTACTCAGGGGGAAGATATGCAAAACATTTAAGGCCAGGCTGGATGAGGSTTTGAGCAACCTGATCTAATGAAAGGTGTCCCTGCTCATGRCAGGGGRTTGGACTTTAAAGGGGGTTGGATGCTCTGTAAAAGTCCCTTCYAACTCAAACCATTTTGTGATGCTACGAGTCTATGACATTCAGAGAAGGAAAAGGCAAGTGCAAAACCAACCAGGTCACTAAAACATCCCCATTTTTATTTGCACTTCTATTTATACTTATTGAGATAAAAAAATCACACTATTTAAAAAAAAAAAAAACTTACAACAAAAGGCTAAGTTTGAATTTAATTTATGCTCCACTGCCCTATCATGGAAGCTTAAACATATATACTGACATATTCATGTAGGTATCCCTATTCACATCAATYAAACTTACAAATGTCTTCAAATTCTATCACAACGTAACAGTCATTGTAGATTTGGTTCTAAATTTAAGCTTCATGAGTCAACAATTTCTACATCTTCAAGCTTACAGAAAAACTAATTTTTCTTTGTTAGGGGCTKCTGAACCTGGCAGCCCACTGACAASAGGACTGCTGCAACCCCACGTGCCCAGATCCAGCCAGGCTGAGGATGTATTCCCATAGCTGTGCATGCAAAGATGCATATACACATGGCTGACCATATAAATGAGCATAGATAAAAACAAGTGCTCATGAAAACACAAACATGGCCTGGCCTTATGTTGCTCCTCCCCATAGCTGACCAGGACAAAGGTCTGCTAGCAGAGAATATACACAYACACACAATGTGGATCCCTCCGTAACTGGTCTCAGACCCCCAAACTATTCAGGAACCAACCCTGAATCCTCAGACTCCCCAGAGTCCCACCCTGTTGTCAAACTGATGACTCTGATCTCACTAGTACCTGTCCCACATGCACAGCTTCCTCAAAACCTGGTTCCCAAGCCTCTTAAATCCTACTCTCTGGCTAGCCCTGTGTGATACTAGTAATCACACATGGCACCTTGCCAAGACCATACCAATGCACTCCAGTCTCCCAATTAYGGGCACTGCAGACACACAAGGCTCTGTGGCTTACATCCCCACTCCAGCTGCTGGCCACAGAGGTCCTCACTCACACCAGTCCCCCCAGTTGCCAGCACACTAGACATGGAGTCCCTACAACTTACTGTGCATCTCCAGTTGCTGGCCCTCAGAGCTCAGTATGCACACAAGAGTATGGCACAGAGTCCTCTCGCCCAAGAAAATAGTTAGAAAGGCACCTGAATGAGAAAAGAGTAGGCTGTGGCAACATGGCCCAGGAGATGGTAAAACACACTGACCAGGCACTTGTTTCCAACTGACAGGCCCTTTATCTTATCTTTTGATTTTCCCATACTTGTTCCTCCTCAGACCACCTTCATTTAGTTCCTCCCAGGAGCATCCCATAAATTTTGTACAATTATGAGATGCTTTTCCTGTGCATCCCATATGCCCCATATTTCCTAGGCAGTTAGCCCCCTCGACTTTGTGAGTTATTCCAGACAGCACTCTGCTGACTTCTCTTGCTGCATGTCATACCTGAGCTGGTGGCTCCCCAGTGACAGAACCAGGGGCTGCTTCCTCTGATGAAACTATAGGAATCCTACATGCCCCCACTGTGCCTCTTGCATCCTGCTGGTGAGCCTTGGAACATGTTAATCTAAATTACTCTCACTTCTGCTAGCTCTTCCAAAAAGGGCATTAAGGTCAYTTCCACAAGTCAATGGAAATTTAGGGAAAAGACATGCAACATGAATATACTATAAGAGTTTGGCCTCACTGCCAAAAGAAAACAACCCAATCACCTTTCAAAGTAATACTTTTACACAGACTTGGATGAACTCGGAACAGTTAGGGAAACACATTAAACAAAATAACAAACAAACAAAAAAAAAATCACCCCAACCAACATAACAACAAAAAAACCCAAATAAAAACCCATCAAATCTGGGATTTTGAAATTTGCAGAATGCAGTAATTCCAGTTTTACACGTTTATCTCAGTATCATCTCATAATCACTTTAAGATTTAATTAAACCCACAGAGCTGATTCTTCCTTGTACCCCTTACTTGGGAAGCAAGGGGAAAGCTCTGAGGCCCCATGATGAAACAATGTAAATGCCCTTTGAGAGCTGCATAATTAGCACTGAAATTAATCTCTACTATTATGTCCTTAACAGTCAAGCAACARATCAAAATAATTCGATCAAGTAGTTAGTTGTGCAAACAGCCCTTCTGTTCCTTAAGTCACATTTATTGCTATATGCTTTGTATATACCTATCTTGTAAAATGCAGCTATAGCACATTTGCTAATGTCTGCATCAAGGATTTCTGTGAGCTGCTGCAGTTTCCTATCGATTTAGCATAGATCACATCTTTCCACTTTAAATATCTAATGTTGTGAGCATTGCTTTGGAGGGGAACTCCTCCCATCAAAAAAAAAATCCTGCTTGCTCTACCAAAAAATACAAACCATCAAAACAAGGTACTTCGGTAGGGGAGGCGAACAACTGCACTGAAACGAGTCGTGTAACAATCCACAGCASCGGTGAGCGGGAAGGAATATCTGGCAACCTCCTTCCTCATTCCAAAAGCCGATACCGTCCTTCGGCAACAAGTGCCYGTGCCCGAAGCACGGCTTCCCAGACCTCTCCCAAGCCAGCCCTCGCTACGTCCGTCCGCCCAGGAAGTCCCCGCTGCGGGGGCGGGAGCAGCGATTCCCGGCTCCCCGGGCACCTTGCTCCCTCCGCTGGAGGWCCTCGCGCTTTTCCAAGGAGACCCCTCCTCCGGCGCCTCTCCTTCCCTGCAGCCGGGCACCTGCTGCCCCCGCAACCGCGGGCGCCCTTCTCGCCGCCGAGGTGACACGCAGCGCCCCGGCCGCCTCCCCCCGCCCCGTCCCCGCAGAGCGAAGGCACCTTCCGCGCCTTCTTCCGCGCCGCCCCCGCGGGAGGGGGACGCTGCTCCCCGCGGCCCGACCCCCCCGGCCCGGTCCCGTCTCACCTCGAGGGCCGAGGGGGCCCCGGTGCGCGCTCAGCCGCAGGACAGCGCTCGTGCCCCCGCTGGCCGCGCACAGGGCAGGCCCCGGTCCCAGTCCCGCTCCCGGTCCCGGTCCGGGCCGGCCCCACAGCCCCGCTCCGCCGCCGGCCCCATCGCGGCTGCCGCGCGCCGTCCTGCGCACCCCCCCGGGGCGGGCACGGCACCGCACCGCCCCGCCCCCCGCCCGCTCATTGGCCGGCGGGCAGCCCGGGGGCGGGGCTTTCCCGGCACGCGCGGCTTTAACCCTTTGCCCGCGGCGCCGCCGGCTCCGCCGCGTGGCAGCGCGCGCGTCCGCTGCGTTCCCGCCGCTCCCGCCGTTCCCGGTGTGGGAGAAGCGCGGCGCCCCCGCCCGCCCCGTCCCCCCTGCGCGGCGCAGCCACGGGAATCGGCCCCTTCTTCCCCGTCCGCCGGGAGCGCGGCCACGTCGCCGGGCCAGGCCGCGAGTAGCGCCCGCGCCTCCCGGCGCTCGGCGGTGGGCGAGGGCAGGCCCCCCAGGCCGAAGCCGCGGCGTGAGAGCGGCGGCCGGCCCGCTTGCCGCGCTCGGTGCCTCGGCCAGGCGTTCGAGAGGTGCGGGGAAAACATGTCCCGGGGAGAAGGGGAGGGCGCGGGAGCGCAGAGCAGCAGCTCCCCGGAGCKCCCGGCAGTGCCTCCCCGGGCACGGCCAGCGGGGAAATGCCCCGGGCAGCGCTGTCCACCGCCCTTCCASCGCGTTACCTCGCTCTCGCCCGCCTGCTCCTGCCTGGAAGAGGCTGTGCCGAGCGCTCAGGCCGGGCTGCGGAGCTCCGCTGCGCTCCAGCCCTTCATTCCCCTCACTTCAGCCGGTCTGGAGCCGCTGCTCTTCCAAAATACCATTAAGCAACTGCAAGGGATGTTGCTAGGATACCGAGCCCTCCGCAATCGCTCCTTTTCTCCTGTGCTAACGCTGCCTACCTTTCCAACAGCTCTTGACGTTCGTCTCTCGGTGGTTTCCTTAGGAAAAAATACATTAAATAAGAATTGTAGGTTTGGAAGGTGTTTTTCATTACAATGTAACTGAAGAGTGGCATTTTGCAAGCAATGGCTGGATCATGGAGCTCTGCAGTTAATAGGTAGARATTTTGTGTGTTGGTTTTGAGTGTATGTATGTATGTGTGTGTGTGTTGTTTTTTTAAGTACTAGGTGCAGATACGTGCAGAGAAAAACTGCATGGTGAGGGCCACTAGTGTTTCTGTAAATGGAGGTCACTGAACACACWGGGCTTGATTTTCCCTTTCTCCTTCTCCATCCTTCCTTCAGCCTGTCCATGGGTTCACTCCATACCATAGGTTTCYCTCATCATGGCTGTGGATCTGTGTATTTTCGTTCTGTCTCCCYTCTCCAAAATTATTACCCTCTCAGGGGTGTTCTCTTTCATCTCCATTTTCATATCTATTTTTACTCTTTTTCTCTGGATGAAGTGTCACACAAAATCACAAGACCGTTTAGGAAAAGATCTGCAAATCCACYGAGTCCAACCTATGACTAAAAACGACATTGTCAACTAGACCATGGCACTAAGTGCCACATCCAATCATTTCTTGAACACCTCTAGGGATAGTGACTCCACACCTCCCTGAGCAGTCCATTCCAATGCTTAACAAYCCCTTCCATGAAGAAATTTTTCCTGATGTYGAATCTGAACCTCCCCATGTGCAGCTTCAGGCTGCTTCCAGTCCTGTTGCTGGTTACCTGTGAGAAGAGCACAGCCCTTCCCTGGCTTCAAYCTCCTTTCAGGGAGTTGTAGAGAGTGATAAGGTTTTCCCTGAGCCTTTTTTTTCTCCAGGCTAAATATCSCCAGCTCTCTCTACTGTTCCTCATATGATTCTCCAGACTATTCTTCAGCCTCATTGCTCCAGCACTTCATGTTTTTCTGAAGTGAGGGACCCACAACTGKATGCAGCATGCGAAGTGTGGCCTTGAGTAATTCAGGATGGGCTGCCTCTTGTATCAGTTTAGGAAGCTCCCATGTCCCACATTATTCCAGCTCCTGGTTTCTCATTCCTGCCCCATCCSACGCTGCTGCCCCCTCTAAATAAAACTTACAAGCAATTTGGTGAATCATATCTTTTTGAACTAGTTTCATCTGAAGAAAGGACAGGCTTCTTGTAGGGCAGAAGTTCGCTTGGGATTAAGAAAATTAATAGTAAACAATAAAAAAGACATGGAAAATACAAAGACTGCAAAAAAAAGTATTTGTCTGTCTTCTTGTTTCCTTTTTTTTCACTCTCACCAAATTTGGATAGAATTACTGTCCATCCCATGTCCAGTGCATGCCTTAAATTTCCAAAATACACTAAGTGAAGTTAACTGTTTTATGTTATAGATAATGCAGCGTGTCTGACTTTCAGTTTGTCTGGTGAACTTTAAAGTCTGGTCTTGCATCACAGGAGTTCTATCAAGGACCGTTGCCCAAGCATATTACATACCCATAAATTTATGCATGAAATGCTACACYTTTTTCATACTGACATGTTCATTGAGCTGTTTCACTCTGTTAGGCTAGTTTGAAAGGGAAATTTCAGAGGGAAGGTGGAACATGCTGTAATTTAACAAAAGCCACAGCTTGCTTACTAATATTGGTACAGAAAGTTTGCTTTAATAAATATGACTGGTTTGGCCATGTTGTAATGGCTGTTTAATATTTTATGGAGATATTTACATGTTGCACATACAAGCAGGTTTTGTTTGGTTTATTTCTTTTTTTTCAGTCAGGGGGAGATGAGCAGTCTCTCTTACAGCTCTCTTACAGCAGCATCTTACAGGTCAGGGTAGGGAAACAGGCGCCTCCAAGGGACTGCCTTGCAYGTGCAATGGTAGCAAACTTTTCCAAAACTTCTGTACAGCTCTGCTTTGCTCAACACACTACCTCTGGGTGCACAGTCAAGGGAAAAGCCATTCTCTTGTTCCGAGTCAAAAGGGGGAGCAGGCCTGGTCCTCTCTCTTGCTTCAAGGGCATGCAGATGTTTGACCAGAGTCCCTTTTTATATAAATGTACTACTGCTGTGGGAGATTCTCCTCAGCTGCTGAGAAASCACAGCAGTGTTGGAGGACACAGTCATAGCACAGTAATATGGCAAAGAGATTCATACTACTTACCTTCTGGCACATGTGGCTGAGAACAAATGAAAGGGAAATTGAATTTCTAGTATTTTAATTTAAAAGGAAATCAATCACTTTGGTCTTCATACTAGYAAATACAAAGGAATGAAATCATTCCCTACCTAGGAGGCCCAGCCATATTCAACATAAAGACTGTTTAAAGCAGGGTAAAAGCAGGGTTACAAGCCCTTAATATCTCAGCTCATCACTAGGTAGGTCTCCATGAGAGAGCTGTCTGGGCATTTCAACATTTATGCCCTCTGGAGAGCACTGTGGAATACAGRCCTACCATAAAAGCCCACTCACAGATCAGCTACTGCTCTCAACWCCCCTCACTTCCATGTGCAGGAGTCYRGGAACAMAGGTTTCTAAATAAAAAAGCTCACRCAAAGTTAAGGCAGAAGGCAAAATGCAACAGTTGCTGTGAAGCTGCAATTTGGCAAGTCACTCACTAAAGACATCATTCAAATATTTAAGTGGATATCTAATAAACATCTATTAGATGTTACATTATCTGTAGATAGCTTTCTACAAGCTAGTGGCTGTAAAAGAATCATGTTTTCTTAACGTTTTGTTTAATTTTAAATTGCCTTATATTGAATCCATTTATGCCATTGCTTTTATAGGTCATCAGCAAGACCATGAAAATATATATTCTAGAAATAATTTTCACATATTTTGACTGAAAACTACTTTTTCAAGCTATGTGTTTTYTGTTCACTCCTATTTGATCACACAACCAGACTAAATTGAATGCATYACTTGTTTAATATTATTTATAAGAAATCTCATTAACTTGACCATTCAGATTTAGCAATGCCATTGTTCTCTAAAGAACCTATTACCCATTCTGGGCCCACTCATGAACCCACAAATTGTAATTSCAGGCACACTGGACCAGATCAAGTTTGAGCAATCCACGTGCCTACCCTAATTCCTAGAACAGAACAAAAGCCTTTAGAAAAGTGAATGRGGTTTCAACTTACCACCACACCTTTGCCCACTTGACTTGGGGCAGGATGCACTAATTTGATGCTGGAGTGTCTTTGAATGGTCAGAACCATATATGGAGCTGTAAAAGTAAATTATTTACTGTGGTAAGATTACTGTGTGAGGTAAAGTGTATTATAATATAATAAAGAAGTACAAGTGTATCACCCCACCTTCCTTTTACCTGTCAGAACACCAACTGGCTGAAAGTCTGACATCCTGTTRTGATACGGAACTTTACTCACTGTGTTTCTTGCACAAACAATAGTGGGACTGCCAGCAGTGGAATAATACACATTATTGATCAGCGAAGTTAGAAGTTCTGTCTTCACTCAAGCAATTGTACAAACTCTACACTGCTGTTCCTGCTGACTACATCTCCTTGCAAAAATAATTGACTTAAAACAAGCCATTGTGAACTTCCAGGTTAGTATTCAGTGTGTGCCAAGAACTCACGTAGCACATTTCAATGGTCAGAATAAGAAATTAATTACTGGATCTTGATAAAAATGTGAAATTCAAAATAACGCTTTTTAAAAGTTTGAAGTAAAGCAAGTTTGCTCATTATCAACATTAAAAATATAAAATGTCTTTGTATTTTCATTGGAAATACTASACAAAATGTAATACACTCTCATTCTGGAGATTCTGCAAGAAAAGCACTTGTCAYAATGTTTCTATCCTGCTTACAGGTCTGCCTCAAAGCCCACTTCAAAATGCTACMGCTATGTTTCTGTAGATGAAACTGCACCAGGGACCATTCCTTGACAGAAATATTTCACAATTTTTTAGTTCAAGGTAAATTGAAAGTTGTGCTGCAGCCCATCAGAATGAGATTTTCATATCATGAAACTGAGAAAATTACACTCATTTCAGTGCTGTAGAATGTGATGGGCAGGCATGAAGGAACACTGATGGGTTAGGAAGTCTGCTGGGATTCCCCTGGATGGACCAAAACCTCAGCCGTGTCCATAATCCTCTTTAGAAACAACACTTGGCA